AACACATCAAGCCCTGGGAGAATCAGAAATTAGCTTCTGCGGTTGCAGAAATTAGTGATTGTAGCTGAATTGACACATTAACAACATATTAATTTTACCGGAACTTTGAACCCAGTTTGTGATTATCTCTTGCAAGATACATAGCTGTTTATCTAATTCCAATGTACAGGACATTGGAATTAGATAAACATTTTAATGTTACGTATCTTACAAACTCCTGAACAGTGAATGGAGGAAAAAAATGAAAAGTGGAATAAACATTTTATACTTAATGCATTAGAATGAACTTTAAAGAGGAGCCAGTAGGCAGGCTTCTGTTTTTGAGATCACAGTGTTGTAAAGGTGCCCCACTTGTAGTCCTAGAAATTCTGATTCAGTTGGTCTGGAGTACAAGAAGCTCTGTTTTGTTTTGTGTTTTTTTAACAAGCTCTCCAGGTGATTTTTATGAGCAGCTGGACTTAAGAACTCTAGCTTATGTCAAGACCAGTGTTTCCATTTTTAATTTTGCCTTCTGATCAGAAGCTAAATACTATATAGTAGAGGCAAAGTGGGTGAGGTGAAAATGACCAAACGGTTTTACTATTTATAAGTAAGGTTAAAACAACAAACTTGTATGATGCTGTTTAGGGTACAGAGCATTTTCGTATTGCATTTGGATCTACCATCCTTTAAATAATTGTGATTATTAGTATCCCTATTTTACAGTTGAGGAAGCTGAGGCATCAAGGGGTTAAATTACTTGTGCAGTGTCCCTTAGCTAGTATATAGTGCAGTGATGGCGAACCTTTTGAGCTCGGCGTGTCAGCATTTTGAAAAACCCTAACTTAACTCTGGTGTCGTGTCACATATAGAAATTTTTTTATATTTGCAACTACAGTAAAACAAAGATTTATATTTTTGATATTTATTTTATATATTTAAATGCCATTTAACAAAGAAAAATCAACCAAAGAAATGAGTTCGCGTGTCACCTCTGACACGCATGTCATAGGTTCGCCATCACTGATATAGTGGAAGTAAAACTTCAACCCAGATCTTTCCATATGGCAGTCAGAGGCAGCATGGATGGACTTTCAAAAAGCAATTCTGTTTTAAAGTGCTTCCCAGATTTTCTACTGACCCTTTAAAAAAAGATTAGCAACAGTGACCCTTGCCTCCTTGCTCCTAGGTCTCTGCTTGGTTATCACCCAAGCCCACCACGGACCCCATGCTAGACAGATCTAGGACTTCTGATTTCTAATGTCCACACTCCCAGGTCTCATTAGTGTATCTGTTTCTTACTGGCTTCAAGTGTGTTGTCTGAATTCCCAGTTCAGTTTAAAACAGATTTTCCACTTGGCACATAGTAGTTCCCACCCTGCCATGCATACTTGCTTTGTTGTTTTGCATATATTTCCTCTCAGGCATGAAATGTAGAGATTGGAATCACTTTATTGGCCATATTTTTTCTAGTTCATTCGAAGCAAAAAGAGATTGGATGGGAAAAGTCAGTAATGTTCCCCTGCAACTTATTAAAGTTGATCCTTTTCAGCTTAGGAAATAGTAAAAGCCAGCTGAAGAGGGTTTTGTGGGTATTGGCCTCATCTCTCCTGCTGTCCTCATAGAATTTAAGATTTGAAAGCGATTGGCAAGATCTTCCATTTCACCTCACTCCGGTCAGGAAGACCCTTTTGACGGTTTGTCTTCATGGCTTGATTTCTAAACACTCCCTCAATCATCCTGTTCATCTCCCATTGGGGAAAACCTTTAATTGATAGGGTTTCTTTAACAGTTGGCTCCCAGAATTGAATGGCATTTTATAATGTGCATTTGACTTTTTTTTTTTATACATCTGAAGTCAGAATACTTTTAAACCCCCATTTTAGCCTAAATGGAAAATGTTAATGTTTGTTTTGTCACATCTTAACCCCTCATTCTATCACAAATCATGTGCAGGTTTCATAAACATAAGTTGATTTTTTTTTTTTCAATATTGAATGACACAGAACCAAAGGCAATGCTATGGTGGAATACTGGAAATCAGTCCCTCAACCTGTAATATCATCAAACCAAATTTACTGCAAGATAACTTGAGAGGCTATCAAATATCTCTTGAGATAAACATAAACTTACTGTGGTATCCTCAGCCTGTTACTCCTTTCCCACTATAAGCACATCTGTGGTTTTATTTCCCCATGGACCATTGTGATTGTCTATCCCACTTATTTGTTGAATGAGTGAATGAACGAATGACTGAGTGAGTAAATAAATGATCCTTGTTAAACCATTGGTTCAACATCTGAAAAAAATCTATTTAGTTATTTTATGTATGAAATATTTCAAATATAAAAATAGAGAATAATATAACTTATGTGTTAGGCCTCATATTTAATACATACGCTTCAGGTATTTAAAGACAGAAGTAGAACTGAATCCCACACCCATTCTCTTCCTTTCGAGGACCTAGTCCTAGAAGTGGAATGCTGGCTCATAGGATATACACATATTTCACTCTACCAGTTTTTGTCAAAAAGCTACTAAAAGGGTTTCTACCAGTTTAATAATCCTACCGGCCATGTATGAGAGTTCTAGTTTCCCCACATTCTTATCAGTGTGTGTTATCAGACTTTAAAATATTTGCCAATCAAATAGGAGAAATGTGATATCTTCTTATTTTTATTTTTTAAAATATTTTTATTGATTTAAGAGAGGAAGCGAGAGGGAGAGAGTGATAGAAACATCAGTGATGAGAAAGAATCATTGATTGGCTTCCTCCTGCACGCCTCACACTGGGGATAGAGCCCGCAACCCGGTCATCTGGTCATCCAACCGGGAATTGAACCGTGACCTCCTGGTTCGTAGGTCAACATTCAACCGCTGAGCCCAGCCGGGCATATCTCCTTATTTTTAATTTGCACTTTACTGATGACTAATAAAGTTGAGTATCTCTTCATATGTTTACTGAGCATTTGGGTTTCCTTTTTTGTCAGTTGCCCTTTGCTCGTTTTTTAAAAATTGCTGTTTGACTTTTCCTATTGATTTGTAGCAGTTTGTTATATATTCCCAACATTAGTCCTTTGTTATCTGATGAAGATATCTTCCAGTCTCTGCCTGTCTTCTTATATTTTATGGTGCCTTCGTTGTAGGAAAAAAAAATTAAAAAATTCTAGTTCATGGTTTTCCCATCCATCTGTCACCAAGTCCCCAGATATGTAGGACCGTTTCTGGCCTTTATTCTTTCCTCTTGAGTCAGGGTTAGGTTTGTCTATCTTTGTCTGTCTCTCCCTGCATATTACCATATTGTTTTCATTATTGTGTCTTTGTAATAAGTCTTAATAGCAGGTAGGATAGGTCATTCCTTTCATACCTATTCAGAGGGTCTTGGCTATTTTCCACCCCTCTCCATTTTTTTCATTTTATTTCTGTTCCTGTCAATAATGCCACCAATTTTCAGATTTACTCTGTTAAGCTACCATTGAAAATTTACCTCACTGCCCACATCCAGGACTTCAGTAAAGTTCTAATTCTCCCTTTGATCGGCATTACCATCCAGTCCTCTATAGCTGTTTCCACAGTTACCCTGATCCAGATGTTCATTGCCTCAAGCTGCGTTCTCCCTTTGCCTCCATGTCTCCATGTGCCCCATTCGAAAATGTCTGGACTTACCTACTGAAGTCGCAGTCTGGTCTCTCAGATTCTAGTAGTGATTTCTAGGGGGCATGAATCTTGCCCAGGATCACTCTGGGAGTCATTAGGAGGCTGTCCTTGCTTCTGGTGCCATGGGTCAGGCTTAGAGGCCACAGGAAAGCTCAGAAAAAGACTAGAGAAGCCAAGTTTGGGCTCCTGGCTCACATTGGTACATTTGTGGTCACAGTTTGTGGTCCTCATGGTGGAAGATGGTTGGTGACCTTTCCCTCGAGTTGGGGATGATATAAGAGCTCAGCAGGTCCCTTTCACATGGCTCTAACATGGAGAGACTATGAGCGCCAGGAGGCGGTTGTTGGGGGTAGCATAAGCAATTCCAAGGACTAATCCCAGGGACCACTAGGAAAGGTTCTGAGGGTGACGTTGGCCACGCCTTGGGGAGCCTTCCGAGAGTGCTCTGGAGCCTGATGTCTGGGACCGTGCCAGAGGCCCAGATGAGATGGCAGTGGCCTCATATGGCCTGGGAAAGATGTTTACCAAGTAGGAGATCCCTTTCATTGAGGGCCTTCCTCTGACCCTGACTCTTCCAGACAGGCTGAGTCCTTTTAATCCCCATGACATGATTTGCATGCCTTTTTGCATATCATTTTTCTTTATATCTTCCTTCACCAAATCACATCTCACTTCAAAATGATGTTCAGAACTCCCTTCACCCACAGACCGCCAGCTTCCCCTGTCTCAGCCCCAGCCCTTCATTCGCTCGCCTTCGCGTGGCACCGCTGTGCTTCGCTCCTCGGCTCTCTGTTTGTTTACACTTACATGTGTTAGTTTTCTCTTAAATCTTCTTGGGACTTCTCTTTCTATCTAGCCTGTCATTCCTAATTACATTGTTTCTCAAGAACAAGGATTATCTCTCTCTCACCCTTTGACTCTGCCCAGTACAGACCATTGCTCAGCACATTGGGTCAAACAACAGAGAGTGGGATTGGCTGGGTCCAGATCGAGGTTTATCACTTGCTATGTGACCTTGAACAAATTACATAACCTTTCTGGACTTCAGTTGTCTTGTTTATAAAATGAGAATAATAATACTTTCCTCATAGGGTATTGACTTTGCAGAATGTCTCAGATGGGGGAAGACAATAAATGCTGCCTGTCAGTATTATTATTATTATTATTACTAATATTAATGTTAAGATATTATAAACCATGCCAAAACATGTGGTTTCAAGTGCCACATACAAATTTTACAGCTCAGTGATGCTGTCAATTTAAATCAGTTACATGTTGGCATCAGAAAAATTGACTTTCCTGTGAAGCGCTGTTGATTACTCCTGTCTCACCCATTTCCTCCCTTTTCCTTTGATAGGCAGGTCCACCAGATCCAGTCTCACATGGGACGCCTGGAGACGGCAGACAAGCAGTCTGTGCACTGTGAGTAATTAGCTATGGAGACCAGAGTCCTTTCTCTGATGACATGGTGCTAATGGGCTGGGTTTCCTGACTGCCTTTCTGCCTCAGGGGCTTAATGATTCAGCGTGGAATGAGTTCTGTTGTTAAGATGCAGAAAACCCTGTGGCACAGTCACTGATTTCCCTGATTGTGCCCTTTGGAATCCCCCAAGTCGCATCCCCCATTACCCCTCCACTCAACCTGACATGGCCCTGTGGGAGTGGAAGTTCTTTCCTCCATCTGTCTTAATCTAATTACCTCGTCCTTAGAGGAATGTGCTCCATAAAAAGTCGGACGTGTTTAACTGGAATTGGTCATTTCTTCTGAGCTGAGAACTGTGGCTTTTTAGAAGGCTTATTCAGAAATGAATAGCAATATTCATGAATTTAGTTCCCACACCATGATTTCTTTTGAGAAGAGGGCTGCTTTGTGGTTTTTAGTGTCTTTTCTATCATAAGAAAAGGTCCTTTTTCTGAGTCGGTTATGCACACTGCTGGCTCCCCACACACACAGAAGCTGCCTTCTCACCACGCCGCTTGGCTGTCACCATGCTCGTTTCTCCGTCTCCTTTCCACAGCTTCGGAGCATCCCTTCTCTCCGTTCTGTGCCCCACTTTGTTCTAATCTGCATTTGTTAGCTGACCTACAAAGGTGACATTGCTGTCTCTCGTTCATGGGGTGAGAAGCAGTCTGCTTGTGTGCACAGTTTAGTTTCTGTCCATTGACTTTGTTTGCTTTCCCAATAATCTCATTGTTACATGATTAGAAATGGAAAAGAGGCCATTTTGACGGTTTATCACAAGGGATAAGGAAAATGACTGTGTTTATCATATCTTTACTGCTATGGATTCTTTCCTGGGCCTTTCCTACTGATACTTGGTCTATTTTGGGGATTCCAGCTTCAGCCCACCCATTCTTATGGAAAGCCGTAAAGGAACTCTCCTCTGTTTCAATTACTAATCTTCCCTTTTGTGTGTGGGGTGTTTTTTGTGTGTGTGTGTGTTTTTTAACCTTATTACTATAGGGAATTCAACTGGCAGTCTTTTTACTAGATATTTATAATCTATATCTGAGAATAATCTCAAAGGAAAAGAGACCTCATGCTGTATCAGAAAATACTGACTTTTGCTTAAAGACTTTTTGGATAACATTTAAATGTTCATTTTATTTTCTAACAGCAGGAAATTTATATCTACAGATTGACCCTCTTAAAAATTGGCATTGTTATATCAACAGCTATATATACATATTTGAAACAGCATTTACAGAGTCACTTAGTATAACTTGAACTTTTTCTATTATTCAATAGCATATGCATTTTTCTCCTTTTGAAATACATATTTAGAGTCTATTGGGTATGGAAAAAGATATGTTTGATTTACCATTCTAATTTAAGTTCACTATCTCTTTTCCAGCAATTATTCTTTTTTCTCTTTTGTGCAGTAGTAGAAAACGAAATCCAAGCAAGCATAGACCAGATATTCAGCCAGCTAGAACGCCTGGAGATTTTGTCCAGCAAGGAGCCCCCCAACAAAAGACAGAATGCCAAACTGTGAGTGTTCTAACACCCCAAGTCCTTAAGACACGTCTTTCTCCCCGGGGAGGCTATTGAATGCTCTGAAAATTCATTTACACATTGAAAAACTGATACTATGCGAGTTAAAGTCCCCATAAAGGGTGCAATTTTATTCTCTAAAATAAAAATTCTGTGATTTAGTGGCTCAGAAGTTTTGTGTCTCCTTACCTCATTGGTGTCATTTTGAAAAATTGCCTCCAGTACTGTTTTTCTGTCCAAACCCATGGCCACTTGAAGCCTAAGTGAGTTTACTCTACCCTTTGGCTCCCACTACATTCTTGGGTTGAAATGAATCTTGCTCTTAATCACTTCAGTCAGTCTAATTATAATGAAATACCGATCTAATGTTTGATAGTCCCCCCATGAAATTAAAATGAAACCACCCTCACCACCTCTACCCCAGCCCCTGCTCCCAAAAGTTTTATGAAACTTTGTTGATGCTTTACGCCAAAGATGCCCTTGGGCTTCTTCCAGGAGAGTGATATAATCCATAGAAGGTCAGGAAGAGGTCATTGAGCCTGTTTCCTGTCACCTGTTCCCTGTCATGCATCCAGAATCAGAGACCAGCAGGTATTTAAGTAAAGCTGTTGGAATCTCGTGTGCTACAACCCTACTTTAACCACAAGCTACTTCTTTATTTTCAACATCATTGATCAAAATCAGATTATTTGGGGTGGGGGGATGGCATGGAGTGGCATAGGAAGAAGTAAGGCAAGTCTTCTTTCCTGAATACAAAGCCTGGTGACTTCAAATTGTGCCACTCTGGGTTCCTGGGATGTAACATCGATCTCTCTCTCAATTCCAGTCGTGTTGACCAGTTAAAGTATGATGTCCAGCACCTGCAGACTGCTCTCAGAAACTTCCAGCATCGGCGATATGCAAGGGAGCAGCAGGAGAGACAGCGAGAGGAGCTTCTGTCTCGCACCTTCACCCCCAACGTAAGCCAGGCGCCGGGGTGGGAGTCTGCAGGTACTCGACAGCTCATTGAAGCTGGAGCTCAGGGTCTGAGCGTCAGACTGATGAGGAGACCAACTGGAAATGACAGTGGACCTTGTGCACCGCCACAGAGACTATAACTAGACAGGGAATCTCTTTTTCTAACACAGAAACCTGAAGAGGAAGCAGTTAACTTGAGGGAATGAGCGGGGGTGAAAATTGCCTGCTTTGACTGGGCTGATGCAGAGAGGTCGTGGTTGACATGGTAGAAACGTTTTTTCTGATCAGATAGAGACAGGTGATTAGAACTTAGGCCATTTTTAGTGAAGGCAGCATTTCAAAGCTGCCTTCGGGCAGTTGCCTTTGTGCTGAGTATGTGTGTGGTTCCAGTGTCAGGTGCATTACAATGTTTTTGTCCCTAGTCTGAGCAGCAGTTTTGGAGGAATTTGTTAACAGATTTTTTGTTTTAGATGGATTACTTGTTTTGAGCCTATTTGAAAGTGGCCTATTGGTTTTCATGTTTGATTTTGTAGAACACCATTGTCCCTGCCCTTTGGTTTCAATAGGATCATTTTCTGCACATGATGTAGGACATACTGACCTTTTTCTTGTTTCCTACATATTATATTCTACCAAATGAGGTGGGTTTGGGGTGGTTTTTTGTTTTGTTGTTTTGTTTTGTGTGTGTGTGTGTGTGTGTTTTTATGGAGATGTTTGTTTTCTAAAGACGTCTTAGCTTCCTAAGCCTGACATCAGAACAAATCAGTTTCCAATTTGCAGATGTTTAACTCTTTGCTGTGTGCACACTTGTAGTAAATTTCCCCAAGTGTTTCAGAATGTACCTCTGTTGTTTCTGTGTCTCTAGAGTAAGCAGTCAAGTAACAATGACTAACAATTCAAAAGTGTGATGGAGACGTGTTGGTGGTATAGTGGTAAGCATGGCCGATTTTCAATAGTGTAATGAACTCTGTGACACTCTGGAAGATGTTATGTGGGCTTTTGATTGTTACTTAGGCATTTTTTAGGCTGGGGACTTGCTGAATGAACTTCTTCCTATTTATTCTATGATCTGGAACTATCATACATTTTTCTGAGAGATAGTGGCTCATCAGCTCTACCCTTTCAGGTGGGAAAGTAAGAAAGATTTGTATGTAAAAGGCATTCAATAAATGCTTGCCAAATAAATGAAGTCTTTAATTGATTCAAACACTGCAGTCTTGTGACCCGCTGAGCCTTAGCTGTATGCAGAACACTGTTTAAGGTGCTGAGAATAGAGGGGTGAGAAATCCTCTGTAGGCAAGGGGAATTGAAAATGTGTGCATTAATAATTTTGAACTTGAACATCAAAGAAAAGGTGATTTGACCTCTTTGTAATGATTAAAAGTGGTAAAAATAGCCCTGGCTGGTGTGACTCAGTTGATTGGAACGTCGTCCTGAACACCAAAAGGTCGAGAGTTTGATTCCTGGTCAGGGCACATACCTAGGTTGCACGTTCAATCCCTGGCCTTGGCAGGATATATGCAGGAGACCGATCGATGTTCTCTCTCTCTCTCTCCCTCCACCTTCCTCTCCCTTTCTCTAAAAATCAATGAACATGTCCTGGGGTGGCTCAGGACATGTGGTAAGAATGGCTCTGGTTGACAGAAGAGTTTGTAGCCATCAGGAGGCAGGAAAGAGAACAGTATTATGGCTGGTCATGAATTGCTTCTGTGTACTGTGCACTTTCCGTGTCAGTTTAGAGCCTAGGATTGGTCCTGATGTTTCTCCTGACAGGATGGCTAAGAGAGCAGACTCTGCACTCAGTACTGGGATTCATGCCTTCCTGGACTTCTTACCAGCTCTGTGAGAACTTAGACAAGTTATTCCAACTGTCTGGGCTTCAGTTTCCTCATCTCTAAGTGGGGTTAATATGTTTACCTCATAAGGTTGGGATGAGGATTACGTGAGCTTAGGGTAATGAGCATGCAAAGTGGAAAGTACTTGATCAGTATTAGTTTTTGTTTCCCTTCCTTTTTGTGCAGATTTTTCTTGCCTGCTCAGGAGACCAGTCCCGTCTGAACATTATTTGGGCGTCAGTAAGAAAGCACTGTCTCTTCTGTCCTTAGTCAGTGTCAGTCTCGGTGGAGGGATAAGCTATGGATAAAATAGCTAAAGAACAAAAGCAAACATTTCATGTGGTATTAAGGGGAAGCCAAGTAAAGGAACATTTGGAACAAGCTAGGTTCGTGAGCAGTCAGAGAAAGACTTTGAGAGAAGCCCATGAGGTCTTGAAGGAATCGCTTTTCCCAAGTGGGGGTAATGACAAGAGGCAGGAATTAACAAGACTCGTGTAATGGAACTGAGGAAAGGGACAGAGGCCCCTCCAGATCGTTGCTTTGCTTTTTTTTTCTCTATTAGGTTCCTCTGATTCTTGCACCATTCCCTCTGACTATTCTTCTGGCCTGGCCTTAACCAACAGGCAGAGCTGTCAGATGCGGTGGGACCGCAGGGGCTGACCAGCAGCAAAGTTAATCAAGTGCCTGCGTTTCTTTCACAGGACTCTGACACCACCATACCAATGGATGAATCACTGCAGTTTAACTCCTCCCTCCAGAACATTCACCACGGCATGGATGACCTCATTGGAGGCGGGCACAGTATTCTGGAGGGACTGAGGGCCCAGAGAATGACCTTGAAGGTGGGGGCCCTGCTGGGGGACAGGGAGAAGGCCTCTTGTTTTGGCCTAATCCAACAGCTTGGTACCTGCATTTGCATTTTGATTACATATCCCCAAATTGTGATACTGTGATGGTGAGACGGAGCCCTTTAGTTTGGGATCCTTCCTTTGGTGTCAAATTATTATGAGTCCAACAGTAGCCCAATTGCCTTTGCCAGTAGGTATTTCTTGTGCTTGCAACGAATCATAATGTGGCATCTTTTGGTATCCAAGTCTTGTCCCACTTACTGAAGGTGACTGCTGCTCTGAGAGGAACCAATGATAGACTAAGAAATTGTTATTTAGTCCACTCATAGGAAGAAGACGTGGCTGTACTCTGGCACCTCGCAGCCAGGTGTTTTCTCGTAAGGGCCTCTGCGTGGACTGCTTTATCACTGAGACCTTTCTGTGCTGTGGTGACTGAACCCCCAGGGGTGGGGTCTCAGGGCTGCCCTGGTTGTTTAGCAGGAGAGAGCTTCTAGAGCACATGCTAGTGATCCCCAGCAGCTCCTCACTCACTCTTTAGCCCCAGGTATTGCTGGAAGCCCTGCCCCATTGGCTGAGACTCCAACCCTCTGGGAGTAGTTTACAGAAACATTACACAGACTCTGATGTCAGTCGTGATGTTTCAGCCTCAGCCCTTTTCCTGTATCAACTCTGATGGATAATGGGGTGTGGACTGTGCCCTATTATCAGGGTGTGGTTCCCTGTGAACGAAGCACTCCCAGCCACTGAGCTGTGAGAAACAGTCCCTCGGAAGCGTGAGCTTTATCTTAGTTTTTCTTGGACCATGTTGAGGCGGTCAGCTCCGCGGGCCTTCGGTACATTTCTGCCACCTTTACCAGGGGAAGGTCAGGCAAGCCACGAGTGACATGTCACCTCCTGCTGACGGCCTGAAGTGTGGTCTCCCACAGCTTCACGGTGCCCTCCTTTCAGAACCGCCACCTGCAGTAATCTAACCCGATACACGTTGATTAGTCCGCCCTTTCTGTAGAACACGGCTGGCCTCATTCCCATATCTCAGAAAAACAGTAAAACCCTTTAGGACAGGGCTCACCATGTCACACTAACCTCGAGCAGTGGGGGTGAGAGCCTATTGTTAAGGAGAACGTTGGCTTCCTACTGCAGTCTGGTATCACTGAGGAGTGCCAGCAACTCCTGCCCCTGCACGGTCCCCGGCAGGGAAGGGCTAGGAAGCCTGTGAGGTGGTCAGAGGCTGGAATGAAGTTGCTAATCCCGTGTCCTCTACACACACCACTACCTGCCTTCTTCCCCCCACCTGCCTCCCACCCCACCTCTGTAAGGGAAGTTTTGGGCTTTAACCGTTTGAAATTAACATGGGAGAGAACATAAAGGAGCTGGGCCATGATTTGGGACAATTCCTGGTTGAAAATGTTTATTTTTGGGGAAAGTCATGGTAATTTTTAGGTGATTTTAGAAGCTTGATGCTTGAACTTCAGATGGTGAGGAAATATGCACTTTCAGAGCTGAACAGAATCATAGTGAGAGTCTAGTATTCACCATCGCCGTATGGAAAAGCATATCTCTGCTCTCCTCTGGCAATAATCAAGTTTGACTTGTGAGATCTCTCTCAGTGAGGCTTTGAGATCATTGTCTGGGCAGTAGTAGGTCTGCATTCCTGTCCGTAGTGCCTCGTGTCATTCTCGCTTCTCTTGCTGCTTCTCGTTTGCTTGTTAATGTGTTGTTCATTTAAAAAATGGGTGTGGGGTATTAGGTTAGCTGCCATCCATACAGATGCAGTTGGTGATGTGTGAAGTAACTTGGGGTCTCCCCCACATTCATCCATATTTCTTGTTTCATAAGAATTTGAACGTGATTAAAAATGAAAATTAGAAAGCAGAGAGGAAGAGCAGGCTGGGTGGTTTGGGCTCTTGGTTTAGGAATAAAACACCCTTTGGTTTTTGGTGGTGGGTGGTGACATTTATATAAGGGGTTTTAGATCATTGTGTTGGTGTCTGTCAGTTGTGTTTCTGTCATTCCATCTTGCCCACTTCAAACCTTCTCTTAAACCGGGGCACTCGCCCAACGTGTTATACTAGCAACATCCTGATAGCAAGGATTTGGGAGCTAGGGAGCAGAGACTGTTTGAATATAAAATATTCTAATTTAAAATTTTTATTGAGGTATCATGTACATGCAAGGAGGTATACAGATCTTATTTGTATAGGTCATTGAATTCTGACAAATTTATGCATCTTTGTAATTCACACTGTATCAAGGCATAGGCTGTTTTCATCGCCCCTAAAAGATCCCTGGTGCCCTTTCCAGGTCAGTCTGCCCCTTTCCACAGGCAACCACAGTTCTGATTTATGTCTCCATCAATTAATGTTGCCTGTTATTGAACTTCATATAAATGTATTCATGTTACTATTTTGTGTGTGGCTTCTTCTCAGTGTTTCCCAGGCTCTTTCATACTGTTACATGTTGATAATTAGGTCCTTTTTATTGTCAAGCAGTATCCCATTGTCAAATGTATCATAAGTTGTTGATCCATCCTCTGGTGTTAGACATCTGCATTCTTTCCAGTTTTAAGATATTTTCCTTTGTTTTCTTCTAGAAGCTTTATTACAGTTGTAGCTTTTATGTTTAATTCTATAATCCAAATTAAGTTTTATATATAATATGAATCGAGGATCTTTGTTTTTTTAATTAAATCTTTATTGAAAGTATTACATATGTCCCCTTTTCCCCCCATTGACCCCTTCTAGCCCGCCTCCACCCCAGGTCGAGGATCATTTTTTTACACAAATATATATGCATATACATAGATACTTATATATAATTTATATAAGATGTGTGTGTGTAATACATACATGTGATATTTATTATAAAACCAGTTGTTCCAGCACATTGGTGGAAAAGACTTTTCTCTCCCCCTTGTGTTGCTCTGGTATCTTGATCAAAAGTCATTTGACCACATGAGAGTGGTTGATGCTGCTTTGTATATGCTTTAGGCTTGACTAAGAGACTATTGTTGGTAAAGCCCCACCTCATAACAATGTTCACCCCCCTGTTTTTCTTTCTCTTTTCTGCCCCAGGGGACTCAGAAGAGGATCCTTGACATTGCCAACATGCTGGGCTTGTCCAACACGGTGATGCGGCTCATCGAGAAGCGGGCTTTCCAGGACAAGTACTTTATGATTGGTGGGATGCTGCTCACCTGTGTGGTCATGTTCTTCGTGGTGCAGTACCTGACATGAGCCAGCTAAGCCCAGCAGCTGGACAGCGTTCCCACTGCACGAGCGTGTGTGACTGTGTATGTGTGCGTGAAAGAGAGAAGGGGGGCCCAGAGGCCATGTTTTGAAATGTATGTCCGTCTTAACTGTGAAAACCACTCAGAAGTCATTGTGATCTGTAACCCAGTGAGCCTTTCAAACCTGCTCTGTTTGTGACATCTTGGAGAGGATCCAAGTGCTACCAGGATTCACGGTGCGTAGGAAATGAACGAAGTACCTGTTCTCTCTTTGTCACTCTCGCTCACTGGGGGAGGAGGTGATGTAATGGTAGGGGATGAAGTAAGGAAAGGAAAAGAATGGCTTTGGTGGTTTTGTCCACATATATGCACGTCCCGGAAGGCTTTCACGGTGACCCTTTCGGACAGGACTGTCCACACTTTGTCATCATCCAGCTTTTCCGGCTCCTAATGGACAGGATGGAGCAGAAGCGGAGAGAAGGAGGGGAAAGAGGTCTTTTCCTGCATTCATTATAGCAAATGGATTCACATGCAACTAGCCACCCCCGCCCCGCCCCCCAAATGACATGCAGATGACTGACAGCTCCTACTTGTCACCCTTTCCCAGAAGCCGCTCCCTGGAGGAAACAGGCATTGGTGCTGTTGCTGACGAGTAAGATTTTCCACATTACAGCTGTTGGCTGTTGCTCCTTTCTAAACTGAGGCCACTATTATTCTCTGGGCATGTGCAGTCTTAAGACTAAAGACCCTAGTTACTGGAATGGTTGGCTTTTAAGGTTCCAAGACTGCAGCCTGGCACCCATGCCCAGGCTTTGTTGGGCTTTGGCCCCTTAGAAAGTAGCTGTGAGCAAAGGTTAGTGATTTGTCCATTACAGTCTCATCTCTAGTTTTAACATCCCTATCTCTTTGGCTCTCTTTTCTTCCCTTGTAATATATTAGCAACTGCCAGCCAAGCCCCCCCTCTGCCCAGCCAGTGTGGGCAGGCGCCACCCTAAAACTGTCTCTGGTGTCCTTGTGAGACCAGACCCTTTTCCCTTTTCTGACCAACCCTGGATTAAGAATGGTGCATCGTAGAATTTATTGTAAAGGCAGTCTGTCTGTTTTGATTAATTGCTGAAAGTACCAGAAAGACCTGGTTGGCATATTGTTTTCATCGATGACAGGCCCTCCCAGCCCTATGCTCCGTAGCCTTATGGCAAGACATAAGCTAGCACTCAGAATTTCCCAGACTGGAAACCTGGTCAGTATTATTGCCACCTTAGATTGTGTTGCTCCACCTACTGTCTTTATTTCACTACTTGGACTGTTTTCTGTTTCTTTCCCTTTTCTGTGTGTGTTCCATTCAACCTCCCTTTTTACCTCTCTCCTGTTTCTGTAGCAGTATTGGTCTCTTAAGCAACATCTGTGGCATAGATCCCCTTTTGGTAAATGTTTCTTAATAGTCACAGATTTTTAACATGAGTTTCCTGGGTACTGATTTTACACTTTTGGTGGAATCTCTTTTGCTCTGACCCATGGGTTTTCAATGAAGGGAAAATCCATGACCCCTCGTACAAGAATTGAAGGCCCTGACAGAGTGAAATGATGTCCTGGAGGGTGGAGAGAGGGGTTGAGGCATCTTCAGACCGAGATCTAACTTTGGGGGAGGTACAGTTTGAAATTTCCCTCACATCCAGCACCTCTGCCATCCTCAGGACCCAGCGTAGGCCTCCTAGCAGTCCATAAAATGGGTTTTTAAACTGCACAGACCTGGGCACCGGAAGATCTTGCCAGACAGTGCACTTTGGAGGAAGGTGCAAAAGGAGCAGCTAAGCCATTTGAACTTGAACTCTGGGTGAGCAAAACTCGCTTGCCCCCCCCCCCCCCCCCATTGGCTGATGTGACATCTGTTTGTAGTATGCACCACTGTTTCCACACTTGCCTTTATAGTGATCGTTAGCCTTGATGAACCAGCAGTAAGGCCTTCCCCGACCTTCAGAGCCATTCTCCCTACTCTGTAATAAAAATTGTGGAGGCATTTTGTGGGTCTTCCGTTCTGGCTAGGGAACTGTAGCTACAGCGTGTCTGTGAGAAATGCACGCACTCTTCTGTCTCCACAATCCCATGTAAGCATGTAGGGAAGGGCCCAAGGCCAGGACAGGAGCACCACCTAGTGGAGTCAGGGTGAATTACCAGGTTGAGCTGGTGCAAGAATCTCCAGTTGACAGTCTCTGTGACCTTGTCCGGGCTTTTGGTAAAAGGTTTGCCTGTTGTGGTTTAAGACAAGTGGGTTGTCAAGAAACTTGGAAATATCTTCTTTCTGTGGCATTTACTCGTGTGACCACCTTAAGAAAAGCCAAATTCGAAGACCAAATAAATTGGAGAGTCTTGACTTTTATAGGCTTCATTGCTGGGATTTTTCCTAAGTCCTCGGCCCTAATGAACTTAAATGGGTTTTATTTGCAAATTTGGACTTAAACCCATTGTTTTTTAAACACATCAGTTGAATAAAATTGAGATTTATTTTATTTAGAATGTTACGTTTTGTAAAACTTGACATTCATTGTAACTAATCTCCTTTTTATTTATTTTTATTGATTTTAGAGAGGAAGGAAGAGGGAGAGAGAGAGAGAAACATTAATGATGAGAGAGAAGCATTGATTGGCTGCCTCTCTCACACACCCGACTGGGGATATCGAACCCACAACCCAGGCACATGCCCTGCTGGGAATCAAACCCTGACCTCCTGGTTCATAGGTGGACCTGGTTCAAAGCCAGGCTAATGATCCCCTTTTTGATGTTTTCAGGCCAGACATTCTCAGACATTGCTCCATGGCTAGGGGCGGGTCTGGCTGCTTCAGAAGCAGCTGGGAAACTTTTAATTATGATTCTTGGGGCTCTACCCCAAACCTTCTGAATTAGAATATTTGTGTTAATCAAAGGTGATAGCATTTGCAAATGTATGCTGAACTAGTTCAGCGTATATGCCTGAAGAACAAAACTTATAAAGTCCCCAGTAAGCCATACTTGTTTACATCCTATCTCAGAAAAGATTCAAGGAGAATAATAGGAATTAACGAAAGCAGTGAAATATAAAGAAACGATCAAGAACAAATCAGAGTAGAATGTCAATACCAAGGAAAAGACTCAATTTAAATCATGAAGCCCTACTGAAGTGCTCTGGGGAATCCCTCATTTGTCTGTAAGCCCCCAAAGCCAAAGCAAAGAGAAGCATGACTTGTTAGTGTCTAAATGGGGGGTGGTAAGGATGGGATGTCTTATTTGCTCGGGGGGCACCCAGACCTTTAATACTGCTAGCTTGCCTGGAGCCCTTACTGGAAGTCAGCCATGGTTATTTTCCTGGGCAGCTCCTCTGATCTTCACCAACCCTCTGAGTTAGGGCCTCTATTGTCCCCATTGTGCATATGAGGAGGCTGGGCTTTAGTGACTCCCACAGCCCCGGCGAGGAGTCCTGGAGGAGCTGGCCTCTCTTCTCTATGGTTTCATAGCCCAAGCTCATGATCACTGCACTGACCTGACTCCTGTGCTCAGTATGAGATGCAGGAATCAAGGCAGCCTGCCAGGATTGGGTAGAGGGCTATAAGGCATTTATTGCATCTTATATGGCAGGTTCTCTGTCCTAAAATATTTTCCTAATTGAAAGGGAAGAGGCTGTTTGGCCAGGAATTTCTGGGAATGGAGAATGGAAGCTGTACTCAGGCCCTGCCACCAGAGAGCGACATAACCCTACTCGTTGGTCTGCCCAGAACCCTGTGTCTTAGGCCTGGTGTTGGAAGAGGAAACAATTGCAGGTTTGGTTCGTTCTTTTTAGTTCTAAAGCTCCTCCCTTTTTTTGTGTCCTTTCATTTTATATGGCACATGGGAGAAGAGGGAAACGGGATGGGGTGGGGGAGTCTGGCAGGTCCTTGGCCCCCCAAGTGCAGTTGGTAAGTCCCAGGCCATAGGGCCTCTGCAGGCCCTCCCCACTTCATCCCTATTCCTCTAGTACAGATTCTCAACCTTGGTTCTACATTGGGCCCAGCAGGGAAGCCCTCCCATCTCCTCCGTATCCAGCTGCCAGAGCCCTGGCATGTGCCTGGCACCATGTTAGCTGTTTCGGGGCAGATGGTTGGAAGCCACCTCTGCCCTCTGCACTGGGCATAGTTACAGAGGCAGCAGTGAAAGCCCTGGACCCAGGATGCAGACACTTGGCTTCAAGTCCCAGCCAGCCCTGCTGGTGGCAACATCTTTCTCCTGAGCCTCATCTTTCTCTTAGAATAAGGTAACAGCTGTCCCGCATCCCCTCTCTGGTGGACAGGGGCCCAGAAGACTGAGTGTTGGAGGCAGACTCTAGAGGTCTGCAGCAAGGAGTCTCAGCCATGGCCTCGTGGCGATCACGGAGAGCTTAACCAGTCCCCCTTCTGGGGCTTGTCCCCAGAGGCTTTGAGCTACTTGATCTCAGGTGTGGCCGAGGTTTCAGGAATTTTTTTTTCTTCTAACTTTCCAAGAGATTCCCCTGTGCTGTGAAGGTTGAGAACCACTGCCTAAAGTGCCCTCCGGGTGTGATGGGTTTTTATTCCTGTTTAACTGGAAAGGCAAGAACTGTTTGCTTGGACAGAGGAACAGAATCTCCAAGGCTGAGGGACAAGAGTCTAGAGTGGCTGTGGCTGTGGCAATGGGGGCATTAACGAGGAGGGGCTTTCTGGAAGAGCCAGGTGATCTGGACAATTGAAGGAGAGGAAGAGTTGGAGAAGGGGGAGGGTGCAGCCTGGGGGAATTAATAAACTCTAGTCAGCCTTTATCTACCAAAGGGCCATGAGGGAGGGCTGGTTCAGTCCATAAGAGATGGTTGCTGCTCAGGCCCAAGAAGCCTGAAATGGAGCTGAATCCTTAGTGGCTGTAACTTGGAGACAGACAGTGGTGGGCTGTGCAGAAGGGAGGAAGTTTCCCCCCTTATTTTCCTTTGCAGCCCAGGCAATGGGCCCCACATCCTTTCATCCAAGACAGCATGGGCAGAGCCCACCCTCTGGCCCCACTCACTTGGCACCTTTCAGCATGCTTTGCTAAGTTTCTCATGCCCAGAGCATATGTGGGGACAGAGGTGAGGGGTCAGGGAGTGGGGACCTTTGTAGGAGGGGACAGAAATCACCACTGTCCCTCAGACCTCTCAATGTTGTGAATATCTAAAGATAAGACCCTGAATGCTCCTGGATGTTGTCCAAGTTCTTGTTGCTGTTGCCTGGGTGGGCGTAAACTCAGTGTCCATGGTGATTGCTTTCAGGAAACCATTTTTTCCCTCCCCCTCCTTTACCCCTGCAGCAGAGGGCAGCCTGAGAGACCCTTGGAAGGCAGCCCCCAGAGCAGAATTCCAGAACGGGAGCCATGGCCACCCCCTCCACGAGAAAGCATCTTGGAATAAGTTTTCTGAGGCCACCCATTTGGAGAGACCAGCACTTGGTTAAAGATGTAGAGGCCTAGGATATTCACTTAAGGGGGGTGGGAGGAGCTCAACTCCAGTTGTGTACCCTTTTAACATAAAATAGCAATTTAATAATTAGATGAGATTTCATGGAGTAATGATAGGTGGCAAGGCAGTAGGGTAGATACCAGAGACTGCATTCAGGGGCAGAGAGCTTATCCAGCCCATGGGAGTGGTGACAGCGCCTCCTGGAGGAGGGTGGACCTGAGTCCAGTAGTGGATGGACTAGGGGACCTGAGGGTGGCACTGCCATGTCCCTGGGGAATCAAGGAGAGGAACTGGTGTGAAGTGGAGTGTGAGCTCGGTTGGGGGTGGCCTGAGGAAAGAGGAAGTATTGGATGGGAAGCCGGAGAGCGGTAATGGAGGAGGTCCAGGAGACCCTGACCTGAGGGCAGATGTCAGGATCTTTAGCTGCCATCCTGAAACCAGAAGTTCCTGGAGGGATCCCTGCTCATGCCTGGACTCTGGACCCAGGAGCCCCTGCCCAGGAAGGGGATGTGGCTCCTAAACCAGCCTCCCCTCCCAAGTCTGGTTTCAAGCCTCCTGGTGTAAGTGCAGGAGGAAGGTGTGCAGTCTCCCAGGAGCACCCAGCCACCTGGACTCTGCAGACATGGTGAAACCACCCAGTAGGTGTGGGGCTAGCACTGCCACCTATGCTGAGACACCCCCCGCCACACACACACTCATTTTCTTGCTGTTGACATGAATGAGACCCAGTGGAGAAGCTCTGAACTGGGAGGACCTGAATGATTGGAATCCAGCAGGCCCACATGCAGCAGAGCAAATCACTTACCTCTCCAAGCCTCTGCTCTCCTATCTTCTAGGGATAAATGATGCCATCTCACAGGATGGCTGAGAGCCAGTGAACACTGCAGTGTAAAGTGCTTAGTGCACAGCCTGGGACGTAAAAGATGGCAGCTGAAGTTTTCTCATTAATTAGCATTGCATGAGGCCTGGGTCTCATCCCTTCTTATTCATCTGATGTGGTTGTTAGTCAAGGACTAGCCAGCATTCATTCACTAGTTAGACTTTATTTGTGAACAGGTGCAGTGTCGTGGACATAATACCGAGTTTGGCATCAGAAGACCTGAATTCAAATCCCCACTTTATTATTTACTACCACTTGCTCCCTCCCTCTCGCTTAGCCTCAGTGTCCTCATGTGAAATGGGGGTGGTGTTAGAGACCTCCTTTGCAGAGCTGTTGTGAGGGTAAAACGATCAAGTATGTGGATCAGTGAGGATGCTCTGGGCTGCAGGTACCAGCTACCCCTTCTCCAAGGAGCTTGAGCAGTAAGAACTCAGGGAGCTTGGGCAGGCAGCAGGGTTGCTTGGTTCAGGGCTCAGTGCCCTTCGTCTTCCGGGGCAGGCTTGTAACTGCCCAGGTTCCCTCAGAGCAGTGGAACTCTGAGAAGGGGTTCAGTGGGTGCCATACTCTAAATATTTTGGATTTGGGAAACTAAAAAATGGTCTAACTCGATTTTGATAGGCAATTTGACCAGTGAATGTTTTTACTAGTAGTAGCAGAGTTCGTGTGTTTTGAGCGCTATTTCATATTGCTTGCCAGGCATTTTCCTTTCTTATTGGATGTAGTGTTAAGTTGTTGGATGCTTTATTTTTCTAGATTAATGACTGTGTTGAGCCAAGGTGGGAGGGGGACGTTTTCCCATACCACTGAAAGGGGCTATTCACTTGGTTTCAGACGCTCTTTCCCAGAATGAACTGCTGACCCTGGAGTCATCTCTGATTCAGTGGTAGCCCCTGTCATAGAGTGCTGAACTAAGAATCAGACATGGAACCCTGGCCGGGTGGCTCATTTGGTTGGAGCATAGTCCTGTGCACCTAGGGGTTGCAGGTTCGATTTCTGGTCAGGGCACATACCTAAGTTGCAGGCTTGATCCCCAGTCTGGGCATGTACGGGAGGTAACCTATCGATGTTTCTCTCTCATATTCATGTTTCTGTCTGTCTCTCAAGTCAACAAACATATCCTTGGGTGAGGATTTTTTTTTAAAAAAAAGAATCAGACATGGATACTGAGAATTTCGAAGAAATAGCAACATTTCCCCTCCCCTCCGCCCTAACTGGTGTATTTTATAGGTCAGCTACTTGTCTTGGAAGCAGTATGGCCAAGGGGGGAAGAATGTCTTGCAGGTTTTAGCTTTGAGGAGGAGTTCCGATTGCTAGGCTAGACTGGTCCTTCTGAATTTTCTGGGATGCCAGGCCCTGTGGCTTTCTTGGGAAGCTCTGCAGCATGCCCCTAGCCCCCACCTTCCTTAAAACCCCCCATCCCACCATCCATGGGCTTCTGGACTCTGGGGCCACCCAGGGGTGCAACCCAAATCCTGCCTCACTGTGAGCGGGGAGGGGACGTCCAGTCGGAGGTAGTTGTCTTTTCTGCAGGGGAAAAGATCCACTTGGTCCCTGGTGATTCTGGGAACAACAAAAAAAGGCTCGCTCTTGTGCAGTCCCTCTCAGCCCAAGAGTAATAAAGGTTGCCTAAATAAAGATTGAAACCCAAGGTGGGGGGAGGCTTGCTTGGTTGCTAAGGGGTCGATGCATGACATGGCTGCATTTGTGACATGGCTGCCAATTGTTGGACTCCCACTCAGCACATGGTGCCGGCACCCACCTTGCCTGGGTCACTTGCTATGCCCGGACCTCTGCCTCTCGTGCCCGGGCTGTACATGTGGGCACCACGGCTCCTGTTCACATGGAAGCTGTTGTGGCTATAGGTCCAGGTAGCTCAGCCTCTGGAGTTGGCCCTGCACTCTGTCCTGGTGACCTCCACCCCGCGGGGGCCCACCGAGCCTGGCCTTGGGATCAGCAAAAGCCTTGTGAAGAGGTTGAACTTGCATCATTCCAACAGGAAGCCTCAGCCCTGCCTACAGAGGCCGCTGAGAAAATGGAACCATCTCCGAACGCTCAGGAGGCTTCAGCTCAGCTTCCACTCCAACGAGAGGCCTCAGCTCTGTCTATATGTCCTTTGAGCCGTTGAAATTTTTGTTAGTCCACGAGGGAGTTCTAGCTAGGCATCCACCCTACGTTGAATATGTACAGTATTCAATCCAGCAGAAGAACTCAGCTCTGCCTCACGTGCTTCTGGCCCGGGTTGTCGCTGTGACCCACTTGCCTGGGTCCCTTGCTGTGCCCGGGACCTCTGCCTCTCGTGCCCGGGCTGTACATGTGGGCACCACGGCTCCTGTTCACATGGAAGCTGTTGTGGCTATAGGTCCAGGTAGCTCAGCCTCTGGAGTTGGCCCTGCACTCTGTCCTGGTGACCTCCACCCCGCGGGGCCCCACCAAGCCTGGCCTTGGGATCAGCAAAAGCCTTGTGAAGAGGTTGAACTTGCATCATTCCAACAGGAAGCCTCAGCCCTGCCTACAGAGGCCCCTGAGAAAATGGAACCGTCTCCGAACGCTCAGGAGGCTTCAGCTCAGCTTCCACTCCAACGAGAGGCCTCAGCTCCGTCTATATGTCCTTTGAGCTGTTGAAATTTTTGTTAGTCCACGAGGGAGTTCTAGCTAGGCATCCACCCTACGTTGAATATGTACAATATTCAATCCAGTGAAGCGCTCAGCTCTGCCTCACATGCCTCTTGCTGGTGTACAACCTTCTCTAGTCCAGCTGAAGGGTTGAGCTCAGTCTCCAAAATCCTTGATAGGTGTCATAGCTCAACCTTCAGCACATCATGAGGTGATAGTCTCTCCTTTAGATTCGGGTGAAGCTCAGCATCCGGTGTTGCCTCTCAGTGTGAAATGTGGGCCTGGGGGTTTTGATAACTTCAGAGCTCCCTGAGAACATTGAACTACCTGCAACTGAGAAGGAAGTCTCAGCTCATCCTCCAGAGTCCACTGAAGAGGTCAAACCTCCATCCCAGCCAGAGATCCCAGCTCAGCCTACTGGAGAGGTTGATACAGCCCTGCAGCAGACGGCAGCTCCTCCAAATCACCCTCAGGTGACATTTCCATGTCCAGAGTCTATTCAGGCTCAGCAGCCCACCTTGACTGAAGTCCCAGTTCAATCTTCAAACATGGAGATCATCATAACTCCAGACCTACCCTCAATATGTTGAATTTTCAGTCCAGCAGAAGAGCTCAGCTCTGCCTCACATGCTTCTGGCCCGGGTTGTCGCTGTGACCCACTTGCCTGGGTCCCTTGCTGTGCCCGGACCTCTGCCTCTCGTGCCCGGGCTGTACATGTGGGCACCACGGCTCCTGTTCACATGGAAGCTGTTGTGGCTATAGGTCCAGGTAGCTCAGCCTCTGGAGTTGGCCCTGCACTCTGTCCTGGTGACCTCCACCCCCTGCGGGCCCACCGAGCCTGGCCTTGGGATCAGCAAAAGCCTTGTGAAGAGGTTGAACTTGCATCATTCCAACAGGAAGCCTCAGCTCTGCCTACAGAGGCCCCTGAGAAAATGGAACCGTCTCCGAACGCTCAGGAGGCTTCAGCTCAGCTTCCACTCCAACGAGAGGCCTCAGCTCTGTCTATATGTCCTTTGAGCCGTTGAAATTTTTGTTAGTCCACGAGGGAGTTCTAGCTAGGCATCCACCCTACGTTGAATATGTACAGTATTCAATCCAGCAGAAGAACTCAGCTCTGCCTCACGTGCTTCTGGCCCGGGTTGTCGCTGTGACCCACTTGCCTGGGTCCCTTGCTGTGCCCGGACCTCTGCCTCTCGTGCCCGGGCTGTACATGTGGGCACCACGGCTCCTGTTCACATGGAAGCTGTTGTGGCTATAGGTCCAGGTAGCTCAGCCTCTGGAGTTGGCCCTGCACTCTGTCCTGGTGACCTCCACCCCCTGGGGGCCCACCGAGCCTGGCCTTGGGATCAGCAAAAGCTTTGTGAAGAGGTTGAACTTGCATCCTTCCAACAGGAAGCCTCAGCCCTGCCTACAGAGGCCCCTGAGAAAATGGAACCGTCTCTGAACGCTCAGGAGGCCTCAGCTCAGCTTCCCGAGGCCCCAACTCCTTCTACAGCATCCTCTGAGCCATTGAAATTTTTGTTAGTCCACTAGGGAGTTCCAGATAAGCATCCACCCTACCCTCAATCTTTAATCCAGCCAAGAGCTCAGCTCTGCCGTAGGTGCCTCTTCCTGGTGTACAGCCTTCTCCAGTCCAGCAGAGGATCGAGCTCAGTCTCCAAAATCCTCTATGGATGTTGTAGCTCAACCTTCAGTACATCATGAGGTGACAGTTTCACCTCTAAGTTCAGGTGAAGCTCAGCATACTGTGCCTGTCACTGTTAATTTCAGAGCCCCCTAAGAAGATTGAACCATCTGCAACTGAGAAGGCGGTCTCAGCTCATCCTCCCAAAGTCCACTGACGAGGTCATACTTCCATCCCAGCTCAGCCTACTTCTGAGGTTGATGCTACTGTATTGCAGTTGACTGCAGCTGCCCCAAAGCACCCTGAGGGGACACTTCCACTTCCAGGGCCTGTGCATGCTCAGCAGCCAACCTTTCGATGTTTGGACCTGGAGCTAACTATCCCTCCCGAGTGCTTTACTTCCAAATGAGTACTGTTCATGAGTGTGTCACAGTTGGTGCATTAGGTTTCATTAGGTTTCAAATGCTCTTTACCACGAGGTTTAAACTGGCTTTGTATGCATTAGGTTTCAGTTATCTTATAGGGCAATTATAGATATATTTTCATTTTGTTTGTTTTTGCAAGTTTATAAAAAGAGTATAAATGATGCTGTTTTATGTAAGGTTTTTTTGGAACATGGGAGTTTTTGGATCCATCACTGGAAGCTGCTACCAAGCCCTTCTAATGCATGGGAGGCTCTCGTATTCTTCGACTGTCCAACTCTAACTTGCTCTGAAGCTCATGGTTTTCTATCCACCAAACACTCTGGTGCTTTTAAGTATTTTTCTATATATTAGGTTTATTGGCAACTACTTGATAACTTCCAAAGTGTGCTTTCATGCCCAGATAGCTTGAATACAATTTCTGTCAGTGATCTGAGGTACATCATAAATAATGATGCTGTGCTACTTATATAATGACAGTGCTGCTTATTTTCCAAAACAGTGTTTTGACCAATTATATTACTTCCTTCTGCCCCAACAGTGGGCAGAACAGGCATTTTCATCTCCTTTTAAGGTGAGTAAAAACAAGATCAGAAAGGGCTAAGGGCTGTCACCTAGTGCCCAGGTCTCCAGCTCCCAGTTTTGGGCTCTCCGCAAGCCCATGTGCCTCCTTTCTCAGGATCCTTACCTCCTTCTCTGACCCTCACCGCCAGCAGCAATATTTTTAGTTCTTCTGGAAAAGAAACACAGCTGCACAATGGTACACTTGACCTTCACGTAGTCAGAAGCTTTTGGATGGTTCCCCAAGTAAAGCTGAAATGAAAGCAAACTAGGCCACTGACAAAAGTTGCTTTCTCCCTCCTGCATTTTGGGAGGGGTGGTGTGTGTGGGGGGCGCCTGGGGGCGGAATTGGGTGGAAGGAGAGGCTCAATCCTAAATACTGGGGCCCCACTCGGATCGTGTTCAGCCATCTCGTTTGTTCCCGCTCCCTTGGTGACTCTGAACTATAGCGGTCACTGGCCTGGAGCGCAGTCACGTGAGCAGCGCCAGTGACGAGCCAGGGCCAGAGCAAGGGCGCGCGGCGACCACTAGGGGGAGCGCGGGAGCCAGGTCTGTCGGGGAACTGGGGCGCTCAGCGCGGGCGCGCTGGACCAGAGATTAGAGGGGCGCTCCCCCTAGAGAAGGGCCCCCCACCAAAAGCCTCGGAAGACGGAGACGACGATCTCCGCGGAGCTCACGCTGGAGCCAACTCAGCAGGGCCTCCCCGTATCTCCCCTTACCAGGCCCTGAGAGGAGGGCAGGGGAGCCCCCCCCTGATGTATCACCCTCCCGCCTCCTTGGGGGAACTGATGCTGAAAGAGCCAGTGTATCACGGAGCAGGGCTGGGGTAGCTTTCCTTTAGGAAAAGAGAAAGATTTCTATCATACAGATTTCCTCGTCTTTCTATGGGGGCACATGTGACAGATTACCTTACAGATGACCAGAAGATTCCATACTGGTGGTGAAGATTATGTTTCTGGGAGAGGCCGAAACTCCAGTTAGATTCGGCCTTAAATCTAGGTTTGTTACATGCAATAAACATTCTTGAAATATTAATGTTTATTGCATGTAACATTATTATATTTAAAATAGTTTTTCTTGAAATGTTAATGTTTAATGCATGTAACATTATTATACTTAAAATCATTTTTCTTGAAAAAAAATCTAGGTTTATCATGGGCTTTTAGCATGAATGATGCCATTTTGGGCCTGTGGTTTTTGTCATTAACACTCCCTGTCTACTACACCTAATTCAGATTACACTATAGTTATCAAAAATGATATTTCCCTACAGATCCTCCGTAGGTCCTTTCTGAGCCTGCTGGGCCTTGATGGTTTTCAAATCCAAATAATCTGCATGCAGGGCGGGTGTGCTCAGTGGTTGAGCATCCACCTATGAACCAGGAGGTCAGGGATTCCCATGGGGCATGCCAGGGTTGCAGGCTCATCCCCAGTAGGGGGATTTCAGGAGGCAGCTGATCCATGTATTGCTCGCACATCAATGTTTCTCTCTCTCTCTCTAAAATCAATAAAAGAATCTTTAAAAATACATAAAAATTTAAATTAAAAAATAGATTACGGCTGATGATAAACTGAACAAAACCTTTTTCAGCTACTTTTTAAAATGTAATGAAGGCCCCTGATTTTTAAAAAATCTTCTAAATTTTATTTACTCCTCTTAAAGGAAGCTAGAATTTCGGGGAATCAAGATCAATAATAGAATGTGAGAGTTGGAGGTTTTTATTTAGTTTTTAAAAAATCTCATTTTACAGATAAAGGAACAGAAGAGAATAATTTGCTTAAGGCTGGAGACAAGAACCACAAGATTTTAAATAATCATTCTGCATTCTACCTCAGTGGAAGACTTGCTCTGGCCAAATTTTTTGCCCCGGGGTTAATTCTTTTGCATTTAAACTAGGACTCTTAGAATAGTTTGGAATGTGTGGGGTGAAAGGGGAACTAGTTGGGACTTCTGGAATTCAGTTTCCCGTCTTCCGAAGACTTCTAAGTGATACCTATCGCCTTGTCAGCGTTTCCTTATTTTAATTGAACTCGTCAGTCAATAAATATTTCTTGACTGCCTAACGTGTAGAGCGCATGAGGATTGTATTTTCACAATAAATTAAACAGGAGCCAGCCCCTCAAATATTTGACTGCTAAACTGGTACCTTGCATGGGTACATGTTACTATAGGGAAAGTTCTCTCTTGGCTAGACAAATGGACGGGTTCATTATTTGCTTTAACTCCTCCATCGCTAACAGTTCCTTGCATTTCCTAGAGCAGAGGCTAAGACGCACGGTGGAAATCAGTCCTTTTTTACGTGGATTTTCAAATTACGCCAGGCCCTTTCTGCCGAGTGATGGCGAAGGACGGTCAGGTTTCCAAGCTTCCGCCTCCGTCCGGAGCTGCTTCTGACCACAAAGACCGGTCCTGGGCCGGCGCCTTTCCCAGCTCCGGTGCGGAGCGCGCCTGCGCGCCGCAGCCCCTTTGTTTGCTGGGGCCGGGCGGCTGCGCCTGCGCGCTGGGCGGGCGCGAACAAGTGCGCCGCGCCGCAGGCACCGGCTGGGGGCGAGCTGGCCCGGAGCCGCCGCCGCCGTCGTCGCGACCGCCGCAGTGGCGTTCTGCGGGCCTGGCGGCGGGAGACCGGCCACGCTGAGCCGAGATGTCGTCCACCGCGGCGTATTACCTGCTCTCCACCCTGGGCGGGTACTTGGTGACCTCCTTCTTGTTGCTCAAGTACCCGACCTTGCTGCACCAGAGGAAGAAACAGCGCTTCCTCAGCAAACACATCTCTCACCGCGGAGGTGAGGGGGTCTCTGGAACCCGGTGGCGGAAATGGGGGAGCCTTTTTGGTTGGGTTTGTTTGGTTTTGTTTTTTACCCCCCCTAGGTCCTTCGGAGCCCCGCCAAAGGCTGGCGGGTGGACATACGCCCGAGTTTGAGGAAGAAAGGGGATGTGTGAATGGGGGCTCCCCGGAGGTGCGGGCGACGTGGAGGGGAGGTCTCCTGTGGGAAGGAAAGGGTCTTGGGACAAAGCCAAGGTGAGGGTTTCTTGGGTGCAGCGGTGTCGGGGTCCTCGGGAGGAGGAGGGACCGGGTGAGAAGCGGGTGGACGGGAGCTCCTCAGCGGACGCAGGAAGGGTCGCGCCGGGAGGCACGAGGGGGTGGGGGTGGGGGGCCGGGGAGCTGGTGCGGAGGGAGGTCCGGTCCACCGTTTTCAGGGCTGAGGAGCCCGGAGCCCGGACCCGCTGCCGCCCAGGTGTTGCCGAGCCCGCGGCCGGGGCCAGCCCAGCCCACCCCGCTCAGCGGGATCGATCCGTTCATGGAGGGGATGACCCAGGGGCACCATCCGCGCGGGGGCCGGGCGGGGGCCGGAACCGGAACGTCCCGGTGCCCGAGTCTGCACGCCTGTGGGGTTTTTGGAAGCCTCACCCACACCCCAGCCTCGACACGTGGATTTCCTCAAGATGAAAAGATGATTTCGTCTGTGACAGGACGGTGTTGTTTAAAGAAAGCGAAAGTTTATTTTGGAAAGATGTCTTGCTGGAAGGAGACAAGATGGTCCACCCTCTGTTTCCCAGGCAGCAGTCACCGCAGGTCCAGTCTCTGCCTCTTCGTTATTGAGTAATAAGTGTCTGTGTCACTTTGAGTGTGATGTATAAAATGTCATCCAATTGGATGATTTCAATCCACGTTAACTCTTCTTTAGAAATGAGTGTAAAACTAGGTTAACATTGCTTGGAGTTTGTAGCCTACTACTTAAAATGGTACATTTCTAGATTTATAGTCTAAAACTTGATTTAGTAGCATCACTCCTTTTCTAACAAGAACTGGCCAGGAATAAGGTTTTAAATGCCGCCCTAACCGGTTTGGCTCAGTGGATAGAGCATCAGCCTGCGGACTCAAGGGTCCCAGGTTCGATTCCGGCCAAGGGCATGTACCTTGGTTGCTGGCACATACCCAGTAGGGAGTGTGCAGGAGGCAGCTAATCGATGTTTCTCTCTCATCGATGTTTCTAACTCTCTATCCCTCTCCCTTCCTCTCTGTGAAAAATCAATAAAATATATTTAAAAAAAAAAAAAAGGTTTTAAATGCCACAGAAATGCATTATCATTCATCTGTATAATTTTATCAGTTACACTTAGTACGAAAGACTAACTTGCGTGGTTATGCTCGTCTCCCACTCATGAAAAGTATCCAAGGTTTTAAGGGGTCACCTGCTAAACGCCATGTTATTTCTCATTTGGTTTATCTGTATTTTAATAAATGCATAGTTCAACTATAAAATGTACATATAACTGCTAAAACGCCTTCAACCATTAACGCCCCAAACCAGCTTTCAGTGTTTACGTTGTTGCTGCAGAAGCAGTTTTCAGCGGTGATCGTCCTATTCTGGGGATGGGCAGTCCACACCGCAGTTGTGTTCACTGGTTTTCTTAAAAAGTGTGCTTGCTTAAAACCCAAAACAGAACAAAACTAGATCCTCTAAAAAGCTCTCTAGTCTGTCATTGTGGGTGATCTAAATTTTATTTTAGAAGAAATAATCTTGTTAAAATATCTGCAGGCTCAAAATCTGTTTTACTCAGTATGCTGGGCTAAAGCACTGTAGTTTCAGTGTGTTAGTG